TATAGACAGCTACCTGGTAGTAATATATTATCAAAATCGGTCCAGCCGTTTTGAGGATTACCCGGAACAAACAGACAGACAGACTAAAAATATTTAAACTGGTTTTTAGGTATAGGTATCATGCAAATAACCGTGTGAGCATGAAAAAACCTATTATTTGGACATTACAAACAGACACTTCATTTATTTTTAAATTGTATAGATACCCAGATATTGAACAAATAATGTGCTCATGATACAACTATTTCTTATATCATGTGAGAATCTAACCCGCGACTTCTGCCTTAGCAGTTAGGATCGGACCAACACATCAGTCAAAAGTATGTAGTAAGTGTATTTGTAAAACAGATTGGTGGTAAAACTTTCGATCTAGGATTACGTAACAAAAACAAAGTTGTTCAAACTAATCGAACTGCACTTACCCCCAACCATTACAACCAGAAAAGGGAAGCAAAAATTCCAATGTACCATTTTAATCCCCTTGCGCTTGTCGAAAGCAAAATCACTGGCCGCAGACAAGGGCCGCTTAACAGTTGAAAAATGAAAAACAATTCCAATTTGGAACGTCAACCGTTTGAATTTGGAAGCGAGGTGACGAGGCGTGTGTCTGCATTGCGCGACGGAATGCACCAGGCATGCGGGCTTACAGGCCTCGGAGGCGTGAAATTATGAATGTGGCATTACCACATTGGCTTATAAAATAACATACCATCTCTATATTATTACGTGTAGATAATTATTTGTACCCGTTTTTTAACAATTATGGCGCACATAGGCATATTATTCATCATTTAGAATACTTAATTCTTGTACATAGAAGAAACTCAGAGGTAACTAAGATTCTTCAGTGAGTTACCATTACCATCTACGCAATATGCGCGCTTTGATTTTGGACTTTGTTTTTAGTAATGGAATGGAAACCCCGGCGGATCTGGTGATTGACATGTCCGCCAGAATATCTAAATTTTGGAGACCAGTCAGTGAAACTGCCGCCTCCGACGAGATGGCACGATATCGTCGTACGGTCTCAGCTCAGCTGGGCTGCAGAAGCATTGTCTGTAGAAAGCCCTGTATATCCGCACAATAGAGGTGGCAAACTTCTGGATTAGGCAACAGCCTCTGTAGGAAGCCTTGAATTTTGGGAATTTGACTTTGGTACTAGGAGTTACAGAAACAGCTAGTATAAATCGCATCAATTCTAAACTGAAAATCAACTGGAATGCACTGTGAAATTGATGAACATCAGCAGAGAGGCAGTAATGGAACTAAAATACCGCATTGTACCGTATAGTAGATGCAAGACAGGGTCGACATGATCGTTATGAGAAAGCAGCTGTCACCGGTATCTCGTCACACGTCGTTTCAGTGTTCGAGCCTGGGACTGTTATACGTCACTACGCACAAATCCTAAATACCTGTGGACTTTAGGATTTGTGCGTGTAGTTAATAAGCGTGTAGTGACGGATTAAGAATACGGAATGTCACTACCCCAATTCATCCCGTGGGTGGCGTAGGAGCCGACTTAGGGCGCAAAACAATGCAATACACCAGCACTGCAAAAAGAAGGAAAACTTGACACAAACCCTATACCAACCCGTCTGGCCAGCGTGGTATAGTAGGCCAAAACCTCCTTTCTAAGGAGAGGCCCATGTCCAGCAGTGGACTATTAAAGGCTGTTGATGTGATGTGTGAGTTAATAAGCGGTATGGGATTGATTTATCCGATCACCTTGATCCGTTGGCGTTACGTATAGATGTCGCTTCACTCTGCATTCTCTATCGCATATATCATGGAGAGTGCTCCGAGGAATTATTCGGACTAATACCAGCCGTAACTCTCCGCCATCGTTCCACATGGCAAATTTTTTATCCTCATCACCTGGATAGTTGGCCCTCTAATACTGTGAGTTTTTCGAGACACTTTATGCCCCGCACAACCAATCTGTGGAACGGGTTATTGTCTGCGGTATTTTCGGACCGCTACGACCTTCAAACCTTTAAGAAAAGGGCGTACTCCTTCCTAAAAGACCGGTAACGCGTTTGTGACTCCTGAGTTGCAGACGTTCATGGGCAGCGATGGTCACTTTCCATCAGGTGACCCGTCTGCTCGTCTGCCTCTCTAACATAAAAAAGAAATGTGCTACAACACTGATTCGGGTTGATAAGCCTAATAATGCCTAATTGTATTTCTAGACGTTTCTAGTATGTCGTGAATGGTATTGACTTTTATTAAAATAATACGGTTTCACTTCTTGTGAATAGACCCTCGTTGGGTGCATAACTGACACAATTTCTATTTCGTGAGTACCTCTTTAGTAAATTGCTAGACTCTTTGTAGTGGATCAAAATGTCTAGTAATTTAGTTAAGACTGTAGTCCCTAAGCGTGAGAACTCGATATTCAACACCCACATTAACATTTTACATGCACACAGACTCAACGAGTACTATAAGTATACTACCCTGGACACTGATCAATCTACTTCTGGCTTTCGAATAAGGTAGATATTCATCACCTCTTCGTCTTTGTAGATTATTAATAGATGTCACAAAAAACATGCAATGTATCCTAACGCACCGCGAAGCTTGCGGGTCCGTAGTGCCTAGGGTGTAGTGCGTAGTGGGTAAGCCCGTACTACGCCAGCCGGCGACAAAGGACGTGGTCCAAGTGTACGCTTTGTGAATATTATGTTAAAACTATTAGTTTTTATGGAGAAATCTAAGAAATTGTCAAGTTAATATGCTGAGTAATATGGGAAATGTGGGTATCATAGATGATATTTTATTTCTTATTTATTTAATTAAAATAAACACAGCTATTTAATCAAAGTATTCTTTATTTTATAAAATTATTATTTTTTGTTTGAAATCGTCTCTTGTGTAGACTAAAGTTATAGATCAACAAACACAATTACAACAATCTGTTTTGTCAAACATTTAGCAAAATAAATGTATACCTACAGCAAACCCGTTTGTATGCTTCCGTGGTTTTTGTCAAATATTTTACAATTTACATCTATAAATTAATAAATTAAAACAGCAGTTCCAAAATTAGTTTTATTTCCAATTTAAACTATTTTATATATTTTTTATTTTTTTTTTAAATATAATTTTTTATATATTTTTTTTAAACCTCCTTTCTAAGGAGAGGCCTATGTCCAGCAGTGGACTAGTATAGGCTGTTGATGTGATGTGATGATGATAATATTTTCAACAATAAATTAAAAATTAACAAAAATCAACATTAAATAAAACAATTAAAAAATGTCCAAACAAAAAACGATGAGTTAATAATTCTAAATTGGCGTTATAATACTTGATATATTAGGTTTTTAAATGTTACGTCACGAAACTTAGGACCCTCCCTTTTCACATAATGTCACATTGGGTTGACCTTCTCCTCCTTTATGTGTGACATAATTTATAAATGAATAGTGAAACAAACTTTTTAAATAACCAATTTTTTTTGTTAATTTTTCTTTCATAATCTTTTTTTTTTAGTTTTTTCTAATAAATTTTCGCATTTTCGTTTTTTTGCTTCACGTATAACTTCTCTTTGCCTTATAGCCTCTATCAAATAAATGGGGTCTCTAACCTCCATTTTTCTATCTAGCCTAGAGTCTATTATTTCAGCGACCATACAATCAAGATAAAACATTTTTAATTTTTCTTCCATTTTATTTTGCCAGAAGTCATCATCTTTCTTAATTTTTTCAACTTTCATGTCCACGTTGGTCCATACCATAAAAATACATTCATTTTTCTGAGTGATGTGTAGCTGCCCCTGAATTTGATAGTACCAGTCGTGATTAGTGTTTATTGTAAGGTCTCCTGTTTGATTGCGTTTCCAGAAGTTAATTTTTTTCTTTTTGACACCGTCATCAATAGCCATATTGGCACACGAATATGGACATTTTACTTCAACAATTTTGTCTTCACCTAATAACCCGTCGGGGCTAGCTCCTAGATAGGGTATTTTTTCGTCTACAAATAATCCGCATTTCTCTATGTTACAGGGGGAACCGTCAATACTACTCAAAAAAACTGTTAGTTGTTCCAGCGCAATATTTTCGTGGTCTTTGCCATGTTGTATAGATTTGACATTTTCTAAATTCGCTCCACGAAGCAAATTTTTTACAAGAGGTCCACATTTTACAAGACCTCTTTTGCAAACTTTCCCGAAACTTGATGCTGTTAGACGCTGTCTTCTTTCTTGCACCCATTCCATGGAGTCTGATTGCAAGACTGTCCTTCTTTCCAGATCATTTCTTTCAACTTCTGTTAGTTTAAGTTTATTCAGATGTTCGTTTTTCGCAAATTCAAAATCGATTTTATTTAAATCTGGTTTTTGGCAAAAATAACCGTAGTCTTTGTCTATATTATTCTTTGGTTTTTGAAGAGTGATTTTGCGACTGGGTTTGGATTTTGGACGCATTTTCTTCCTTTTTAACTCAAGACGGCGTATGAGTGTATTGGGTTTTTTGTGTATTACTTTTTCGTAAAGATAAGTTATTGGCTGCTTCGTGTTAAATGCCACAACGGACGTTGCACAACGAGCCGAATAGGATTGTCTACTTGAATAATTTATCCGTTTTCCTCCCACAAATTTAGCTACAATACTATTGAATACTTCGGCGATATTGCTGTTTACGCTGTAAATTAAGCTTTTAGAATTATTAACTAACCTTGAAACTAGTTTCGTAATTGCATTGTATAATGTGCAGGTTTTCATTTCTGGCACTAAGTTTTTATCAACAATCTCACAATTTGTGTCTCTGTTCACATGTTTGCAATAGTATGGCTTACATGTTGAGTGGTTTCCAAAAACGTGATTTGGTCCATTAAGTAAATCTATTTTGAGATCGGTTATTTTTTCATCGAAAGTTTTTTCCTTTTTAGAATTATTGTGCTTGACGGCACCAGTCACTGAACGTCTTAATCGTAAAATACTTTGGGACAAAACTTTGCGTAAATGCAACGGGTGCCTAGTATCTTTCGTAAGTTCATCCAACTTTGTGCAGTAGTTGCGAAGTAAATGGTTGGTGCATTCTATTTTCTCCACAATTAAACTACGATAAGGATTAGCATCTAGTATACTTTTGTAAGTACTGGAATCTCCATCAGCAATTAATTGGGAGTATATGATACCATACATTTCCATGGAACTTTTAAAACCTTCTGTAATTGCAAGAGCCTCCATTCCAGTTGAGGAACCACTATAGTTTTTAAAGCAAACGTGATCTGGGCAAGAAGTATTTCGATTCGCCGCTCTAGCACAGATCATGCAGTACTTATTTTTTACTGCCATATATAGGACTTTCTTTGTTCTGTATCCAATAATTGCAGCAGCACCCGATAAGGCTGTATAGTTTTTTCTATAGGATCTTTTAGACCAGCACGCGTCTGCCACTACCGTAATCATTGGTACTCCGTTAGCGTCTACGTCACCGTTTTGTATGGCTAAATCGTATTCTTCCTTTGCAGCTTCTTCCATGCTCTTCTGTTTTGCTAATTCCCAAAGTTCACAAACCTTGGTGTGACATTTGACGTAAAGATTTTTTGACATGCATGGTATCCCGAGAGAAGCTGATACCTGTTCTAACGCTACATAACCAGCGCCTATTGACATAAAACTAGACACTGCTGTTTCGTTAAGATTGAGATCTTTACTGTTTTTATTTAATTTACAATTCATTACATGTAACTCGATATTACACATTTTGCAGAGAAAAGTGAATTTGGAATAGAAACCTTTTTTTTGTTCTTTTATAAGTTGTAAATGGCTGAAATTACAACCTAGAGGTGAATTGTGTTTGGCGATTTTGTGCAACTCCTCATAAAAGTACATGAAGTCAATCACTCTGCGCCCATCTACTTTAAACTCTTCGTTATCTTGTGCTTCTTCAATAAAAAGCTGTGGAGTATTCCGTTCAGACGAAGTCTGAAATGATATTATTTTATTACTTTGTGATCTTCTTTAAATTGTATTCAAATGAAGATGCTTTTCGTTCCTATTAGACTACTAGATTTTTTGGTCAAATAAGTTAGCAGTACTTACATGTGCCGAAGGCATAGAATCGCGTATGTTTTGAATTTCCTGAAATGGAACTCGCGTTGCTTCATCAATGATAAGTTCTGAGATGTTTTTATCCGACGTTGCCTGAAATGTATATATACGAGTAGTATTACTTAGTAATCTTTTGTAGTACTCTTTTTAGGTGAAGTGGATATTTTGAACTACACTTACAGCTACAGTGCATGTATCGTCTTTCAAGTTTTTGCTTTCCTGTCTTGCAACTTCTTTTAACCTGTAACAATTATTATTACTGTATTCATCTGGAAATATCTTTACATAATACGTTTTTCACTAACTTATCCATTTTAGCGTAAAAGAGCGTGAAGTGCTTTTTAAGATTTTTTTATAATATAATAACTTTATTTTTACCAATATCTAACAATAAAATATTTTTACAACAATTGAGATCTGGCAACCCACGCATTTTTACGGTTTAATGATTTTTCTTTTGAACTTATACAAAATTATTTAAAACATTTTAAGGTCAGGCATAAAGTAAGTACATTATGGATACTTACTGTTTTTTTTTAAATCTTCCTCTATTTTTTTTTTGTTTATAATAATTTTCTTTACGGTTTCCCATATCTATCTGAAATAGGTCGTAAAATAAGTTACGATTTTAATAAGTACTAACATTTGTATTTGATATATAATTCGTAAGAAATACAAAATAAAACTCACATTCCTGGTTCGTCTATTTGCTCGAAGAATTCAAATTAGCAGTAGTCCGACACTCACAACCCACCCTTATGCTTGTCCAAACAATAGATTTGTCGCGGAACTACAGAGCTCGACGCGGACTACGTTCGGACGTGCGATCACCTTCGTTATTTGAGTGGCACTGGAGTTTTTGCTCGCGTATAATGTAATTTATTCCAAATTACGGGAGACAATTTCTACGTACTAAAATGTATGGACAACGGGGATCTTTTCGCGCTAAAAAATGGATGATGTTCGAGCTTAGATTATGGCTTTTTGGTCCGAATTAGAAAAAAACTGTAAAGGTAAATGTATTGCTCATACTTTTTTCTCGCGATTAAAAAAAACTGTTTTCAAATAGAACAATGAAATAGCAGATATATATTTTAAATAGCAAAGGTCGATTTCGATGATTTTGATCAATGTTGAGGATTTTTTTTCTCAAAAATAAAGTGTTATTTTAAAAGTTTAACGCGGTAAAAATGTAGACCCATCTATTGAGCAACTGATTTTTTTTATAGTGTCATTTTATAAAGCGAGTTCTTTTTTTATTTTTTTTAATAGTAAGTGCTTGTTCGCGCGTTTTTTAGGGACGCGCCTCTTAAGAAGTTTTCTTATATAGTTTTAACTCACCGCTCTTATACCGTGTAATTACCTATTACGGAAGACCGATAACGGCATAATACTATATTATAAATATTGAAAATAATTTCTCCATTTTTATAAAGTTATGGAATTAACATTATTGATTTAAAAAAAACTACTATGTACTACGAATTAACAGGTTCATTACTGGAACTGTTCGATGTTGATGTAACGTATGTAAATTTACAAAACAGTTGATCAATAGGTTAACAAAACATGTTATCTGAAAAAAAAACTAGTGAAATTATTAAGTTGTTACTGTAGACGGAAAAAATATGTAGTACCTAGCTATTGTCCGCAGCTTTAAATTCGTTTAATTATTTCGTATTTCGTGTTCCTAACTTTAAAATTGACTTTTTTTATGATAAGCAACTACATGGACACCTGCAACTCAAAAGTCATAAGTGCGTTGCTGCCCTTGGAGTCCCTCTCGCTCGAGTCAGCGGGAGGGGGGATTTGGGGATTTCACAGACAATCAAACACACAATTTAATCGTAGGAGAGAAATTATGATCTTTGTACGGGTGAGCCGATTTTCTTGAATTATCGCTAAGCAAAAGATTTCCTTCACAACAGTTTTTTTTGTGCGGCCGTGATATCACTGGGGTTGAGTTGGAACTAGACTTTTGTGGTTTGGATAGAACATGGTGCTATAGTAAAGAACGTGGTACCAGAATTCCTCTAACTGGCTGGCTTCACAACGAGTTTATAGGTCCACTCGAGCGGACTGACAATAGGGCTTCGCAGATAAATGGTCTTGAGCAATTTCTTCGTTACTATCATCGAGTGAGTGAGGTTACCGGAGGCCTAAAAGATTTTTTCCGTGTGGCGACGGATTAAGAATACAGTGTCACAACCCCTATTCATCCCGTTATTGTCGTAAGAGCCGACTAAGGTAGTTACGCAGGACAACAGCACTACGAAAAGAAGGAAAATTTGAAACAATCTCTGTACCAACCCGTCTGGCCAGCGTGTTATAGTGGGCAAAAACCTCATTTCTAAGGAGTGGCCTATGTCCAGCAGGGGACTTCTAAAGGCTGTTGATGAATCTTCAACGGCTGGACCAATTTTGAAAATTTCTTACTACCAGGTGTGTGTCTATATTAGAAGTAACTTGGCTATTTTGTCTCTTAGAAAAACCCTGTAAAACTTAAGCCGGTCCAGGCATCAAATCTGAGGCCTCATGGACTGCAGTCGCGTATCGTACTTCTCCAGTAAGGCAGCGCTTTTCAAATGCTACGCGAACGAAGTGTCGGGCTCCAGCTAGTAATGAATAAATTTGTTAGCATAAAGCGTGGTAAAGTTAGCGGAAATGCCCTAGTGTCTCTCGAGTATGTCCATGGGCAGCAGTATTCACTTCAGGTAATTTATCTGCTCAATTGTCCCCTGTTGTATTAAAAAAGCTGAAATACACAAAATTAATCAAAATTTCATCACTTAAAGCACCATTTAATTAATAAACTTTATATATATGTTATCACCTATCGACACACCAGAACACATCTCTATTATCAGTTTTAGTAAAACAATATGTGCTCTACTGACGGTGGAATAAGTATTAAACTAGTGTGTATTCTGTTATCAGTCTGCGCGATCTATGTCGGCGGGTGTACGGACACATGTCCCAACATTCCCGACAATCGAGCCCGCTCATTAACTTTTATTAGCACTAGTCCACGAGGAACATGGACGGTATTGGCACGTGTTCATTGTATTAAAGTAAACAACTCTTTAATTAAGTGTGAAGCATCCAGGAATATAGGAGCAGCATTTAGTGCTCGGATATCATCTGGTTCCTATCGGATGACTTCCATTGATGACTTAACAAAATATGATTTCTTCATTTGACTGATAGCACATAAAATAATATTGTACATCTCTTTTCTAAATATATCCATATGGTTTAGGACGAATGTATGACTTTGGACACACGGAGAGAAGAAAAGGAATTGCTATATGTATTTCAACTGGATGGGGTTGCTGTAACTGATAGTCTAGAAATCGGGTTTGTTGTGTCACAAAAGTAGGGACCAACCCCGATTCCTTTAGTAAAATAATAATGTCGGAGAAGGCAATGTAACTAAATTTTGCATCACAATGCTGGCTTTACTCTGACTGACTTCCCTAGGAGGGAGGAGAGAGTGAAGAAAGCTAGTTAGAGGAATTCTGGTACCACGTTCTTTATTTATAGCACCATGTTCTATCCAAATGGAAAAGGTCATTTGACGAAAAGGAGCCGCAACTCAGGAGTCATAAACGCGTTGCCGGCCTTTTAGGAAGGAGTACGCTCTTTTCTGAGGGATCAAGGAGATCGGAGAACTTTGGGATATCGACGATTTGAGTCGCTCTTCGTTGGATGCTACCTAGAGGGGGGAGGTGGTAATAAAAAGCCCCTGCATAGAGATGAGACCAGTATTCTATATGCGGCCGTACTTGCACTTTATAGAGCTGATGGTGGTGGGCCGGACTGAAATACTGCCTCGATCTGTTCAACACACCGAGTACTGTGACTATGCCTATTCAAATACCTGATTATTTAATAACATAATATCAATACTGAAATGTCACCATAGTTTCATCACAATTGAATTAAATATCGTACCGTATGTCAACGTGCACGAGCACTAGCACACACTATCGAATTACGTGGTGCATGTTACGTTGAACGCATAACGTTTTATTGCACTGCTGATAGCCGAATCAAATTCCACACGTCCTTGTTGCTCCTTTACTGACTTATTTACAACCTCCACCCTTTTATAGACAGCTTTTAACGATGAATTACTAAATTAACGTCATTATACTAATACACTTTTATGGGAATGACTGCGGTGTCAATAACAGTTGCATCGGTTTATTAGACACAATTATCAAGTTATACAGAACTTGTGAGTTTGATCATTAGGACACAATTATCTAATACCTTTGTAAATATCTCGGTCACGGTATTTGTGGTCGTTCTCCTTCGAAACGACTCGACTGATTTTAATGTTTTTTTCTTGTAAATATGGTAGGTTTTAGAATGGGTCGTAATGTGTATTTTTGACATTTATGACGATTTTTTAAAGTCAGAACAACATTTACCGGGATAGCTAGTAAAACCATAATATTTACCATCAAAATTTATGCGATATTAGAATGAGTTAAGGACCCCATATACGGTACGATTCCTCGTTACGCCTAATCTGAAAGGATTTCGTGACGATAGATCTCTCACAGGTTACTTCTCATACATGAAACTTGGTTAACTTGGAACGACAAAGACTTGCTATCAGTATCAAAGACAGAAATCTGAACACTTTTTTTTTCCGTGAGGAAATTCCCTCGGATACCACCTATCGGTGGCATGTCGGACTCGAACCGACTAAAACCGCACGCCGTCTCGGGTACTAATATCCGGGGAACCAGATATACCCTAGAAAGGAAGTCCCTGGTGCCCCGACGTACCTCGGGCCATCTACAATAACAGGTAGACGACCCCCCCCGAGTCAATAATGCCTGACTTTTTGTTGCGATTGTCGATGTCTGCGGTCAAGTAAAACGATCGATACATACATTACAGATCCGTCGTTTCAATCAGTCTTAACGACTATCGTTCACCTATATAGTGTTCTGTAGCTACATTAATACAATACGAGAAATTACGGGCAAACTTTAATTGCGCAACGCAGGATCGCTAGTTTCGTAGTTCGATTTATTTTAAAAGATTAGAGTAAAGCACTTTTTTTATGTTTATAAATGTCTGTTTGACTTATAATCTCGTGATAATAGAAACTCGAGAGGTTTTTGTTTCATCATTTTTTTAAATGTTTTGAAACTTTTGATCAGATTAGATAATATAATTTTTGTATTGAAAAAATAATAATGGAGGCCTTGAAAGTATTGTAGAAAAAACACATCACCCCATGATCCTTAGACTCAAACAAATGATGAAATACGGCGCTCTGTATGATGGCAACCTTTTTTATGGTTTGGGGGGGGGGAGGTCATATGGAGGTCATATGGAGGTCATATACCACTATGGATATCTGCGACTCAAGAGTCACAATTCCTCCCCCTCAATAATCAAGGAAAGATGGGGGTGGGCTCCGATACCCTTACTTACTCGGTAAACAGCACCGAAAGAATTACTTAACAATTAATCATCACCTAGCAAACCAGTTAAAGTTCATAATATCAACTGTTCTTATATCGCACTATTAAATTTCTCAAACCAATTAGCCTGATCAGAGGATCGTCGGTTTATATCGGGCAAATATAACACTGGAGCCTACGTAACAATAGTAGTACATTTTGTACGATATTATTTCACTCAATTACGAGAGTAATAAATAAATAAATAATAATAATCTACCACATTCACACAACGCCATCTAGTCCCAAACTAAACAGAGCTTGTACTATGGGTACTAGACAACTGATATAAATACATATATACTTTTTTTTGCAGACCCAGACCAAATCAAACATGAAATGTTCATGCACACAAACGTTTGACTTGAGCGGGAATCGAACCCGCGACCTTAGGAATAGCAGTCCGTTACACAAACCACCACCCCATCCGGTCGTCAAATATAATATAATAATAATACACATGATAATTTTTTAGTACGAAGCAACTTAGCTTAAGTTTTAAGTAAAACAGAACACGTTTCATTGATGCGTTCATTAGCATCAATAATACTAGATCCATTCGTTTTTATTTATTACTAAGCTTTAACACAATTCTATTCAAAACTAAACCCTATATTTTAACAGTTAGGTTTCATTGTTAAGGGTTCATGTATAAAGAGTATTACGTGTAATAAAAAGTGGCGGTATGTTTGTTTGGCGTGGCTATTTCCCGATGATTACATGCTTTGTTTCGTTATAAGGCTGTTTAAGGGTTCTGGAACACATTGTGTGTACTTTGTATGCGAATGTAGGTTATTTGTGTATTTTTATACATACAAACACTCGAGAACACAACCATTCTTCTGGTGAACTGGGGTAAAAATAATAAAAAGAAATTAAAAATAAAGAGTGAACTGATTAGTTTCTCTTTTATCGTCATTATTGTCATGAAACCAGAAACCAATTTTCCTCAAGCCTTTATCCTAAACTAGAATGTAGTAGGTTTTAAGTCTACTCCGATACGGCTGAACTTCGATTTTTTCGCGTATCGTCAGGCCTGCACAACTCAAGTAGGCGATTTCTGTAGAAAGACTTTTTAGGGCTCCAACCCTTAACGATCATTACAGATTTTCGTACGAAAACTGTGCTTCGTGAAAACCGTGTTCTCAATGTATTAAGAAATGTTCACCTATCTATTAACTTTATTTTATTTATTTAAAAAACAAACAACTCCCGCATTAGGAATAAATCCTGTGTCGCGGGGGGCTTTACAAACATACATGAAACGGACACAAAGTACACCCAGACTCAGAACAACAATATGTGGATCACACAAAGTGTCGTCCCATGTGGGGCTTGAACCCACAACACTCAGCGCAGAAGGAAGCGGCGTGGCGACCGCTCAAAAAACTACGCCATCCGTGCAGTCAACTTTGCTATATGTTACCCTACACGGTTACCAATTAGCCACGAGCTACATATTAAAGGATGATATAATAATATATCATATATGTCAGTATGATACAACGGCACGCTGATATTAATAATGCAGTTCTAACTGAGGCGGGCTTCGGGTAATAATTGAAGAGCGCGCCTATGGATTATGTCCACGTATCGATCAGGTGGTATAATGCGACTACCTCAAATGGAACACTGCTGGTGGAATATAAAAATGTTACTCAATGAAAATGAAATGCTACTATAAGATAGTACTATAGTTGTTTTTTGTACCCTACATCCTCGCAGGTCCACTAATGGTAAGCGAATATCTCCGCCCATAGACACACTTAAGACTCATCATTCACCTATCACTAGTTCATTGCCGGCCTTTAAGAGCGATAATTTGTGCTGATTGACAAATGCAGTTTGTGTCTGCATTACACAGTCTTCAGAGGATGGTACTTTTAACGATACTAGTTGATACCTCGTCATGCTTATTTGTAAAAATTAGATAGTGTGGCTCTTTGAGTTGGCTCAAAACATTAATAAAAATCGCATGGTCTATGATTTTAGAGTCAAAATTTCTTTAAAATATGTTTCAAATCGTACAGGAAATAAAAAATAAATAAGAAAAAATGGATTTATAACAAATACACATTAAAAAAATGGTTATAAATTATACATTTACATAAGTTTATAAATTTTTCGATATATTTGTTTGGGTCAATAAAAGGTTTTTGTGCCGTGAAGTACGGCTAGTTATATCCAATCTGCCTCTACTACTAAAACCTTGAATAAAATAATACACGATGCCCTCACTTAGTTGAGAGTTGTAACGTTATAAGAAGTTTTTATTAAATGTTAATTGGACAAATCGATCGTTCCCTACATCAATGATAATATTACACATATTCATACACATTCTATTGTATACTACACACAATATAATCCATTTTCTGCTTCTATTAGCCTGATTGGCTTGTCTCTTGGGATGTACGCGATATCAAATGGATATTAGAACAGATTTGATATAACCCATACAAAAATAAAAATTACTTACTAGCTACTAATATCTTGAACGGTGCATATGTTGCCTTTTTTATGATAATGGGGGTAAAGGTAAAGAGTGGGAACCTCCGGATAAGGTGGTTTGGAGGGGGGTGGGGAGCTTGCAGGTTGCCTCGGTATACGGCCTGGTTAGTAGTGGTGTCGATTCGGCTGGGAATTGAAATCACATGGTTTTCGGGTCTTCAAACCTCGGCGCCTGAGGCTAGTCTTTGGGGTGGTGTTTTAAAGGGCAAACGCAAACGGAAAACGGGTGTTGCTGATGGAAAGTGACTGCTTTCACCCATGGACGGCCTAGCCTGCAACTTAGGAGTCACAAGTGCCCTGCCAGGCTTTGACGTAGGATTGCGTTCTTTTTTTTTTTAGGTTTGAAAGTCGTGTGGGTCCTGAAATTCTGCAGATGACATTTTTTCTACGGATTCTTTAGGTAGGTATTGATATATGCTAGGTATTGATTATTTTCAGGTATATTCCGATTAAAAGACGATAATCTGTCATTTACTAAATAGATTCAGTGTAACCACCCATATACACCTGAAACTTTAGATTCACGATTTAATTGCCGGCTTTTGAGGTAAAAAGTAGGCTCTTTTCTTGAAAACTTGAAAGGAAGGAACTTAATCGGTGACAACTACCTTTGATTTTCATTGTTGATAAGTAGGATCGTTAGAGTTCCACAATAGTGTGTAAATAGGTTTCGGTACAAGGTTACTAGGGGTAGAAGAGTAGTAGGGCTGAGTAATAAAGGAGAAGCAGGCGCGCGGTCTTTGGTATACTGCTACAACATTTATAAAATGTTATTTAACAGACCATAATGTAACAACGTTCCAAGGGGAATAGCTAAAGAGAATTTTCAAAGAATTAAATGAAGTAATTAATTTTGAGAACATAAAACGCATACAAGTCTCAATTGAAAAATTGCCAACCGTGTAATGATTCTTAGGAATAAACATTGTGTTGCGTTTGTTAAACACAAATAAGAAAAAAATTATGTAGGTAAATATGTTACCACATTTACTTATACTGTTAATGTTTTGTCGTGTGTCGAAACAATTAAGCGTAAGAGATCAAGAGGAATATCTTTTAAAATTAACTCCAGAACAAGTGAGACAAGCATTTGATAATGTGATAACTGACGAATATATTAAAGAACTAGCTAAAGAATTCGCTGCAAGGGCCGCTACACATTTTATGAAAGAAATAACAAACCACAAAAATCTTCTTCTTTCGCAGTTGAAACTTAAACGAAGTGCCCACTCTGAATACTTGTATGTATTGCTTATAAGTATTATCTACATAATGCATTTAAGTTTTAGATCCTTTATTTATGTGTGGAAACTCCCTCGGGCCGTCACCCCACCGAGGTGACTGCTTGCGGGGGCACCGGGACGGTGTGTCTGAATCGAACCGTCTAAAATCAAAATAGGGGGGTTTCGGGCTGAACTCTCGGCGGGTTTAGAACTCTCAGCGGCATAAAACGCTGTAAGGTACAACATCCGAGTACAGATCTTCCTCTCTGGAACTCTTTGCTGCTTTCTTAGACGAGATGATGTTGGCGCAGAAAGATACGGCCGTGGTAAAATATCTGTTTCTACCCGCCATGAAGTGCGTGATGGCTGGTAGCGAGAGATTGTCTCCGATGACTGCAGCGAGGACCTGACACTGCGCCGACCAAGCGGGGCAAAACGCAAGCGTGTACTGAGCCGAGTCCTCACTACAGTCACAGTGGTGACAGGCAGGACTCAATTCCCTCGTAGTCAAAGAGTGCAGGTACTTCAAGAAGCAGCCGTGCCCAGAAAGGTCTTGTGTCAGCCGAAAGTCAAAGATATCATGCTGTCCCTCTGCCCACTCGTCGATGACTGGCTGGAGTGCCTGTACGGTGCCAAAACCAACACGTGGAGACTACAGTTGGGATGACCAACGAACTATGGTGGTTCGTCGCCATAGAGTGGCCTCACACCATTCGCGTACCTCGTAGGACTGGGGACTGACTGCCGCCATCCACCCGGATATCAGCCGTCTGCCGATAAACTTCGGCAAGCATTTCCGCTTCCAAACTCCTAGGGAAAGTCTCTGTCGACCCAGCACCAGACAGACATTACTCTCTGAGGCATGCTCTACTTTGGGCGGTCCGAGCCACCGCCAAGACCGCTCACACTGGAGTACCGCATAGTGCTATTGACCGGACAACCCCCGTGTACAGCCGTCTTGTCTAACCTCACAAATGGGTCGAACGATGCGGGCAGAGAGGAGGCTTTCAAACAATTTATGCTATGTAATTAGCGGCCTATAATATGTTAAGATACACTTGACAGACTTTTAAATATATATTTTTAATTGAGATAGCATTTTCAGCAGGATTAGTGACAGTAGCAAAAAGAGTAAAACACACTACTGCACATCTCATCCAATACAGAAACGTCAGTTTAACAACAGATACTTTTTTCAGAAATACTGCACAGGTGAAAAATACTGAAGAAGCTAACGTGGTAGAGACTGTCAAACAAGAAGCAGATCAAACAACCGATTCAGAGAGTAAGGAAGAAGACAAACCAACTAAATCAGAACTAGATGACATGGAAGCTTTAAAACTACTTGAAGATCCCGCCCCAGATGGCGATAATCTTGATACATCTGGTGAATTATCGGATGATGAGAAAAACAAGATACCCGTGATCCAGCTTACGAAAATCAATGGAATTTACTACAGAAGATTATTAGGAATGATTTAAACACTAAACAGTTTTCATTAACTTTGTAAGTGGTTATGAAATACATAGTGATAAACTAAAAATGAATTTACATATGTGTTTAACTATTTCAAGTTAATCATGATAATCGGTAATCACGATAATCATATCGTGATTACCGATTTTGACGAGGTAATCGAAGCAAAGCATTTATTTTAAAGATAAATATAATCCTTTCTAATATTTTACTTGGGAATGTCTGTCTGTGACCTCTTGACGCTTAAGCCGCTGAACCGATTAAATTTCGTATGGAGCTAGGTTAATTCTAGAGAAAGAACATACACGCGAATGGAGCCGCGGGCAAAAGCTAGTAACTACGAGTAATAAGCCAGTCTACATTTACATCTCAGTTTTCGAAACATATGTTCTATAAACATAAAAGACCTCGTCTTCATGTGAAAAATGGGCTTGGGGCTCTGGTAACCTCATTGACTCAGTGATAAGTAATGTAAAATTTACTTAACACCGGTTTTCTGTGCATCACTTCAATCAAACCGGCACATTTGGAACGAAGCATGGCTCTCCTAGTAGACCAAAACCTCCTTTCTAAGGAGAGGCTTATGTCCAGCAGTGGACTATAAAAGGCTGTTGATGATGATGATGATGATGATGGCTCTCCCATGATTAACATGTTTTACATGTTTTGACTTTATTCAAGTCAAAACATGTAAAACAACTTGGATACTTGTACACAAATATATAAAAATTTATAAAGCCATTGATGGCAAGACACATTGGGAGGTAAAGATTGTAAAATTTGAAGTGTATTAAATAAGAAAGTTAGGCAAGATGAGAAGGGAAATGAATACAATGATGCTTATTCAGATAAATTGAGGCATGTAATCAATAGCTCTAGAAGGTTTTTCTTAATGACAATTCCCGCACTAGGAATAAATCCTGTGTCGCAGGGGACTTTACAAACATGCCCGAAACGGACACAGAGGACACCCAGACTCAGAACAACAATTTGTGGATCACATAAAGTGTTGTCCCATGTGGGGATCGAACCCACAACTTTCAGCGCAGTAGGAAGCGGCAAGGTGACCGCTTAAACCACTACACCATGCGTGTAGTTGTGGTCACGATTACATAATCATCATCATCATAAACAGCCTTTAACTGTCCACTGCTGAAAAAGGAGGGTTTGGGCCTACTACCTATACCGCGCTAGCCAGACGGGTTGGCATAGGGTTTGTTTTAAGTTTTCCCTCTCTTTGGAGTGCTGTTGTTCTGCGTAGTTTGCTTCTTTAGTCGGCTCTTACGACACCCACGGGACAAAGGCGTGGTGACACTCCGTATTCTGAATTCGTCACCACACGAAAATGATTACATTACATACTACATACTGATTATATAATAGCTACTACTAGAAAGTTCAAGTTCTTGGACTGCAAGGTATATTCAGGAAATGAAAATAACAATTTCTTTTTCTTAAATCAAAAAAAAAGAGCGTACTCCTTCCTAAAAGGCCGGTAACGCGTTCATGGGCGGCGATAGTCATTTTCCATCAAGTAAACCGTCGGTTCGTCTGCCCCCGTCTACCATAAAAAAAAACTGTCATCCACCTCCGCACTAGGAATATAACGGCGGGGGACTTTACAAGAATTCATAAAACAGATACATTTCGTGTTCTTCTAATATTAGTTAACGCCTTAGTTATTATTGGGGAATAAAGAATCTATGGGATACAAAAACGAATTCCATGTATATTTAATTTGTAATCAAGAAAGGTCTACTTAACGTGGTCCAATACGAAACTTCAATGAAAAGAAAGACACAAAAAGGTCCGACATAAATGATCATTTATTCACTCGGATACATGCCTGAATTTCCTTTCATCGACCTTTATATTACTGGTAATGTATAAAGAGCCATGTATTTATTAAATATTTACGAGACCTTTATAGGTGTAATCCTTGGTTCGAATAGGATTAGGGCATGGTTTTCTAAGACAATACATCAAAAAGGTTAGTGTGAGTTTCAGCTTTTAAGAAATGTTGTTTTGTTTTTGAAATTGAAAGATTTATGGGACTACATATATACATGGTCACATGGTCACAGTTTAAATTAATTAATTCATGGGTTGCATTTTAATTACCTCTAACGTTAAGATCAGACATTACATTACATTATATTATATATGTTTTACCCGTATTTAATCTTTCATGTGCCTTATTCGTTGTGCCTAAGACATCCTGGGGTAATTTATGTTAATGTAGCTAACATCATAACGTAATACTACGGGTCTTTTGCTTGTTTTTTCTTTGTAGGATCTACAGACTATAAGAAACACGACTGATTTTGTTTCAATTTAACCAATTATAGGATTGGATTATTTAAAATTAAAGATTTTCCATTTAATTGCAATTACTGTTTTTTTAACATTACATCTTGTACAATAAATAAAAAAAAAAACTTATGATGTATATGTCTCAGTTGTTATTTTAAAGTATAATGTTTAAAAGTATCAGTTTTATGAACACAATAGAGGCAAAGATAGCGTGAGGAAAGCGAGAGGATTTCTGTAGAGATCGTCGCAACCATAATTCACATTGCACCATGAATTATTGATGGCAGACAAAGCCTGGTCTGAATGAGATTAGGTTATAAATAAATAGTTGCGTGATATATTTGAAAATATCTGAAGACAGCTTCTCACAGGCTGTTTTAATACAATGGATAATTAAAGGCAAATGAGTTTTCAACCAATTTAGAAGCTAACTGAAATACAGTTTATATTATACACCTAAATGTTTGACTGTATTTTTGCCTTGACAAAGAGAAGGAAAACTAGACAGAAACACTATACCGTCCCGTCTAGCCAGCGGCATTAGTTGGCAAAAACCTTTTTAAGAAGAGGCCTAAGAGACTGTGGGCTGTTGATGCGATGTGTGTGATGTGATTTTTACCTAATCTCTGTACGAAAGAATTCTGTAAATTTGAAAAATGCTCCTGACCAATAAATTTGGGTCAAATTGTAAATAACTATCGTAATAAGGTGAACATTAAATTGCTTGGAGTGGCAAGCACGCAGTCTTGACCTGATAGAGGATTATTAGGCTTAGACGATACATGTGTCAATGTGGGTTGCGTGTCCCTAATTGCGCTTCAAGAGTTCAAAAGCGGCAAGAAGAGAATATTTTTCAACTTTATATAAGAAACTTGGCGTACAGTCGATCATGTATTCATTTATATTGAAATGTATATAGTTTATCTTATTTTTTCAAATTGGGATTTTTATCTTAATTATAATTATAATATAAACAAGTAAAATAGTAGTGCCTGTTTATATGATAACAATAGTTTCTTTTACGACACATAAGTTAAACCAAAAATCAACCACAAAAATATATCTGATTCGGCAAGCTAATTTCCGCAATATGAAGAATAATTTTCCCGAAACATTCACTGGCAGATAAGTACCATTCAAAGGGATAACTTTTATCATTATAGGATTGTATTTAGATTAAATAATAAAAATCAGGGTTCCACATGAAAAAAACGAAAATATACAATTAACTAAAGCCACGACCGGCAATTATAAAAGAGAAAATACGTTTTATGTTTTAGGCCTTGACGACTTAGCCAAGCATCATAAAATTTTGTATACACAAAGTCTGGTGTATAGACAAGGATACAAGGGACCTTTCGTATCTAAAAACATAAGAGAGAAAAGAGGAAAAATGGTACGAAAAGTAACTTTAAAGCAAATGAAGCCACGCGCAATAGTTCATTATATTTTTGAAATTTCTACCCTGGGGGATCAGTGTCCAATTGCTTGATGTCAATATCTATGCAGTTTCGTTCAAATCCATTTGCTAATTATGCGCCCGTCTGCTATTGTTCACGTCAGATACACCACTGAACCCTTTTAATAATTCACCACGTGTTGGGTTTGTTGTGTAAAGCGTGTGGTTTTACGCATTTCCGATACTGTTGGTCCTGTTGTGTTTGTGCGATGAATGTTTAAGAGATTTTAATCTGAAACTATTTGGGTATTGCAGAAGATTAATAATAGGATATTTTCATTTAATAAAGTAATAACATTCAAAGAAATAGTAATGGGTACTTCAACGGCTTTAAATTTTAAGTACAGTTTATAACTGAAGACTCCTTGGCAGCGTTACAAAAGCTTAAAAAAATCAAAATATCCCAAAAGCCCAGAATTTACTGTATTCAAGAGATATAAATTGCGATGAAATTAATGGAGAATCCGCCAGGAAACGCATCTTTTATGATAGGCGAAAAGTAGTACGAGGTCGGATTATAAGTTAATCCAGAGAATTATTTCCCGATCCGGCAGAAAGCTTCCTGAGTAGTGATTACAGATTGGATAATAAAATAGTATTTCCACAAGATAGACGGGTGACTTGACTACAACAAGAAGAAGACTGGACATTTCTTCTCTTCTTCTGGATTAGTTTACACTAGATGGCGTTGTGTGTTAGATGTCCGAAATATTATTATTATTAATATACAATGAATAAATTACCACTTTATAGTAAAACTTTCGAACTTAGGCACAAAAAAGAATCTCCATAGCCAAACACGATCATTTATAGCTTATATGTTAACTTTTAAGCTTTCACCTGCCGTGATAAAATTCATCATCATCATCATCAACTGTAATAGTCCACTGCTGGAAATAGGCCTCAGCTTAGAAAGGAGGTTTTGGTCCACTATACCACGGTGGTCAGACGGGTTGGTATAGGGTTTATTTCAAGTTTTCCTTCTCTTTGCAGTGCTGTTGTCCTGCGTAGTTTGCTCCCTTAGTCGCCTCTTACGACACCCACGGGATGAATAGGGGTGGTGACACTTCGTATTCTTAATCCGTCACCACACGGACACGTGATGATAAAATTAGTGTACTAAAACTAAAGCAGTAAGTCTGTAACCACGGCCAGTGAAATCTGATCGAAAGGACACGCAATAAAATGTGTGCATGTAAATATTATAATATTGATTGCTTATATGAAACAAAA